AAAAAAGAAACAGATCACCAGCATGCAACAGCGCAGGCGGGCTTTTTGGCTTGCTATTTCCGCTCTTATTCTACTAATAATCACGTACGTTTTTCTGTCCATGCAGCACCGCCCTGCACTTTTACCCACCAACAGCGATCCGACGCCACAAGAGTCCGACAGCCGTGAGCCAGAAGAGGTCCCAAAAGAAACCACAACACCCCATCCATCAGCACCATCGGTCCAGCAAAATGCGACGCGCACACTTGTGATTGCCAAACTACAGGAAGAGGATACCTTGTGGGTCGACAACCTTGTCCACGATGACGCTTACCTTACCAGCGCAGTCTATGTTGTGGATAATAATACCAGTGCACCTTTTACTGTTCCCTTGAATAAAGGCCATGAGGTTATGGTCTATTTAACCTACATTATCGATCACTATTATGAACTCAGCGATGTTTCAATATTTATGCATGCTCATCAAATCACGTGGCATAACAACGACTTCCTCGATTCTGATTCAGCTAAGATGGTCCGCCGGTTAAGAAGTCAACATATACTAAAAAATGGTTACATGAATCTTCGCTGTCACCTAGATCCGGGATGCCCTGACCATATCCATCCATATATAGGAATGGGCTCTGATGACATTCTTAATGTCCCCGAAGCTGCAGTTATAGGTATGGCATGGGGCCAGCTATTCCCCGGTAGCCCAGTCCCATCAGTTCTTTCACAACCATGCTGCGCACAGTTCGCTGTCAGCGCAGATCAAATCCGGAAAATCCCTCAGGAACGCTACCTTGAATTCCGCCATTGGCTTCTCGCAGCCGAACTCGATGACCGACTGTCTGGGAGAGTCTGGGAATATATCTGGCATTGGCTATTTACAGGGCAACCGGAGTTCTGCCCAGTTGAGACAACCTGTTATTGCGAAGGATATGGAATTTGCTTCGATCCTAAAGAGTATCAGCTATATTTTCGGATTCGAGGCGAAGCCCGCAAGTTGGAAGGAGAGGTTCGGGAGTTGGAGTCGGAAGCGACCGAGACAGACATCACGACTAGTGAAAGAATAACTGCGTTGAAGAGAAAGATTAATGAGCTGCATGGGGAAATGAACGAGATAAAAGCCAGGACGAAGGGTATTGGGCAGTGATTGCCAGGTAGCATTGGTGGGTTTCCTGCTTTGTCATGTTGAATATGTATAGCACATTTGTCTGGAAACAAATACATTTCCTTTTCTTTACATGGTCTCCAGTCAGTATACTTGCTGTCAATATAATGGTCTCGCACACAAGTGAGGGCATGCTTTGATCAGGTGCTATGGCGTCATGTGACGTGTCGATAGCCCAGTATTGTTGTTGCCCACTAGTTTTCGTGTCGTGAAGGATACCGAAATTACACATTAAGTACGCAGAAACGCGACGTTGGTTCATCCCAATGCCACACTCAATCGATTTGTTAAACACGACCTGGTAAGTAATTTCACAAATTGTCTAGTATAGAAGAGACTGCTTGGTTTGTAAAGGTCGATGGTTTTTAATAATCGTGGCTCGAAGTGGTTCATTCTCGGAAACAAATGAGCAATTATTAATAGTGTCGGAGCGTTTTGGACACAGGGCCAGATCTCCGATTGGTCTAAGGGCCTGCTTCGTTGTGGGTAAGACTCTTGGTCGAATGAACCAGACTGCGACATGATCAATTCGCGTGCGAAACTGTCCGACATGATGCATTCAAATAGTGCCATGAATCCACATAGGACAAACATCAATCCAGTGCCATCTGTGTGGTCCATCTCCAAGTCGCACTCTATTTCGACGCGATGTCTTCCTTGGACGAGCTCCTCAAAATCGCAAACCCAGTTCGCGCGCACGCCTTGAAAACCTTCGATGTGACGGCGCATCCAGACGAGGTACTCCAAATCCCCTCGCGAGAAGAAGGACGCTTCATTCGCATTCATGCCTACAACACACCCCATAGGGATACCCCGACCCCAGTCCTCGTCAACTTCCATGGTAGTGGATTCGTGAACCCTTTGCATGGAAGTGACGATGAGTTTTGTAAATTCATTGTCGAGAAAACTGGATTCGTGGTTCTGGACTGCGCCTATCGACTCGCACCAGAACATAAGTTTCCGGCTGCAGTGCACGATGCCGAAGATGCCGTTCGATGGGTTCTTTCACATCCAGAGAAGTTCGACGCTTCCCATCTGTCGATCTCGGGCTTCAGTGCAGGGGGGATCCTGTCTCTGGTTCTCAGCTCGGTGATCTTCCCACGGGGCACATTCAAAAATGTGTTTGCCGCCTATCCTCCAACAGATATGGTCCAAAGCTCCGCGGACAAGACTGCCCCTGATACATCCATAGATAGTGCTCCCGTCGAGCTCCTGGATACGTTCATACGATGCTATTATCCAAACCCCGAAGACGTGAAGAGCGTCCTTGCTTCACCATCCGTGATCCCAGCTGAAATGTTCTCCGATAGGATTTTTCTTGTTACTGCGGCTTGTGATCGCCTCTGTCTTGAGGCAGAGGCGCTTGGAAACAGGATCAAAGATACGACACCCAAGCATATCAAGATGCACAGGTATGAGGGCTGCGGGCACGCTTTTGACAAAGCTTATGAGGTAGGATCGGTCCAGGAACGAGCGAAAAATGACCTCTACCAAAAGGCGGCCGTATTCCTAACCGAGTAACTATTTTGTATCTGTTGGGGCTCAGCATAAGGTTTTTTATAACTCCTTCATGCTCCAGGTTCGTCCTATGTGTACTGTTCTTTCTTTCTTGAAACCCTTTCATTTGTCCATAACATATGGTAGTTACTGTAAATTAGTGATCGTCTAACGCAGCACTTGAAAATATGTATAACTAGAGAGCAGTTGTTGGAGAAGATGTGGCAAGAAACAATCGTGAATATCGAAAGTATACAATCAAGCGAAAATCAACACACAGCAGGGAACTCTATGGGAAATTAGCCACCGAATCACATTTGAAGAATCACGCTTTCGACAGTGGTGAAACAGACGACAGGTGAGCATCAGCATAGCCAAGAGCAAGAAACGGGTGAGAAACCAGACAACCCAAGATTTCTTACAGCGGAGGCACTTTGCAATGACCACACTTGAGCGAATATTCGTGCATCTGATGAGTATCAAAATGCCCTACTATATATCACATGGAGACAGTGGAGTGTCCTTGCCACCCCCTTGCAGAAAATCAATAAATAGAATCCAGGGGCTACCAAAGATCGACATAGTGGTGCAGGGGAAAAAGTAAAGCACCAATTGTAGCCATAGGAAAAAGAGGGTTGGGCATTTTTGGCGGCGCTGCTATTTACATTTTAGAGACAGTGTTTCTCTCGCGCACACAAGACCAACATGGTACCCGTCTGGTCAACGAGTCAACTCTTAAATCTTCATCCCAAATATACCTCTTCCTCAAAGAGTGTATGTTTAGCCTGTCTTGATTTCTTTTTGAGTGGTCACCAAGCGGTTTAGTGTCAGAAGATTCCTGAACATCCATCATGACATCCTCAAAACCTCTACCGCTCCTAAACCTGACAGGAAATTGGGTTATGGTCAGTGGTCTTTGGTTTCCCTTAGAAGGCTTACGTTGTCAGACTGAACAGATCGCGGCTATAGGAAAAACATCTATCAACGAACGTTGAACCAATGATGAAGATGGTATGGTTTATCTTTGGTCATCTGTCGATCGATATCTCGATACGACATCGAGCAACATTAGGACTTATCTAAGAGAACTTTCAGCAAGGCCTAAACTGGATTATCCGCCGAGCCTTCCAATACGTATCCATACTATTTACAATCACCGAATATGCCAGCATTGGCGCAGATAGTTCACCACTGGCGTTGCATATTGACGTTGAACATACTGTGACAGGTGGATTCAACGGTACAACCGAGAAGCGGACGCTCGACTGGAATCCTCATGTCCAGAAGGATTACGTGTTCGGGTGTCTTAGTGTCCGTAGCCGACTCATTAGGGGCGTGGAAGATGCGGACGGTCATGTTCGGCCCGCACTTCAACTACACATGCCAAACTTAGACGAAAGCGTATACAAATTCATGAGGGGGGCAGTCTCTTTCGAGGGTGAGCCGGAGGAAGGGTTTTTACTTGATGAGTCACCGCAACAGTACGTGGGAACTAGTCGTGGAAGTTGGTTGCATACTGTCTCGTGCAATGACGAACTAGGGTGGACCATGGAACAGGTAAGCGAAGGGAAAGCTCTCGACACCTATATATGACTGTTAACAAAGGATATTCAGGTTTGGGGCTTCGAAATGATATGCGGCGAGCGCTACCACACACGCCGGATTGTCGTTATTAACAAATCCGGCGATTGTACCATGGGCCGAACTGTATACAAGTGGCACAGTGGAATTCGGGAATGATCATGGTCTCGGGCCTACATGTGCAAAATAAATTTGAAAATGCCATATCCCTTTGAGAGACGGCCGTTTCTAATACCTCACAGGACGCCAATTGGATTATAATGTTGTATCCGTTGTGCTAGAAATATATGTTGAATTCAGATGTGGCTAGTATGGTTGGCAATGTAATGATTGGGAATAGTTTTATATTTCCAGGTTCAAGAGATGTTTTGAACCTGGGGGGAAGTATTAGAATAAAGCAAGTCTATATTGGGACATTATATGCATATATATACTCAATACTCCTCCTCATGGAGTGGTTGGGCAGAACATGCTTCTGAATACAATCACTTCAGAACCCCCAAATATTCAAACAGAAATCAACCCAACCCTATAATTTTACGAGAAGGGAACGATGAATCAATGCATGAAAGTCGTAAATACCATGGTAAACTTTCCTAGTGTCTGCTCCTCCACGATTATTTTATCTTCAACCTTTCCTTCTCGCTGACATATCCTGGATTCCGTTTGCCACCAATGTTTTGCAAGGACGTATGCAACTAATATATCCAAGAGATTAAGCACCTCCAGCAGCCATCTCCATGAAGAGTTTCTCGCGCTAAATTACAGTGTCAGCGTTGATTATAATAATATGTCGCACTGCCAAACAAACCTTCAAGAACACCGAGAGAAGAACACCTATGCCACCGGCAACAATAAGCAAGATATAACTGTGGTAAAAGTTAGCGATAGACTTTTAAGGTTAGCAAACCACAAATAAAACGTACACATAGTCAATAGCATCGACAATAATATCTAACGCCGCGGACTGCTCTGACTTAGTCAACGTGTTGAAGAATCCACTTGCAGTTCCACCAATTGTGTTCTTAATGTCTTCGGTATTGGCGTTCGGAAGCAAGTTGATTAGGCCCGTAGTTGCTTTGTTCACGAAGATAGCGCCGGCCATACCCAGTGCTAAGACGATACCTCCCAGTTGAGCTATTCTTGTTAGTCTTGTTTGCTAAATAAAGGAATGCGGACTACTTACAAACCATCATAAAGCCAAGGGCCCATGGGATCTCGGTCTTCTTAACTTTAGCCTGGACAACGCTATATCCTGCTTGGTTAAACGCGCCAACACCAAGGGCCATAAGAGAGGTGTATCCGTAGATAGCGCTGGCAGAGGTATCTTTTTTAACAGTGACTAAAGGGGTCAGCGTTGGAATAAGTATTGCGATAATTAAGCATCTTAGCTTACACATCAATGCAGCGGCGACGAGTTCGAAAATCGAACCAAGGAGGTACCATGGAAGGTAATAACCGAATTTGGACATCATGTGGCCGTTTGCAATGATGGCGAAGATAAGCACCATTACAAAGGGTAGAATACGCAGCGAGGAGTGGACTGCAGTGTCACCCTGCACGGTGTCAGTATAATATCTTGGGAACCTGGGTTGCTATCTTACCTGAGTAAATTGGAAGAACAGGGGAATATAGTACACGGAAATAAACAATCCGCTGCTGGCACAGGCTAGAACTTGATTAGCATCGCCAAGAGGTTGGAGTATGTTATAGGTTTATACTCACTGTTAAGGATGAACAGAAGTAGTAGTGAACGCCTCTTCAGGAAATGGATCGGGAACAGTCTGTTTTCCTCGTTGCAGAAGATGTAGAAAGTCTGCTGAACACCAAAGACAACGAACAGAACGCCGGACACCACGAACAGTGCAATGGACGAACCGCTGCCCCAACTCCATTCCACTCCGCCAAAGTCGATAGCCATAACTAACGTAGCCAACGCACCGACAAACAAGACAATGCCGACCCAGTCGATATTCCTAGCTTTCTCTTTTGGGGTTGCATTGGGCATGGGCTCGAAGGAGGGCAAAAGAAATGCGTAGACTGGAGAAAACACGGCTCCAACAACCAGGTTGATGTAGAAGGCCTAACAATATTAGCATGGGTGGACTTTCTTGATGTGGGAGATTTGCAGCCATACCCAACGCCAAGTCGCACTGCTTTCGGCGAAGGCTCCTCCAATCGCTGGGCCAGTGACAGTTCCGATACCCCATGAAACGGCACTAGACGAGAAAGATTACAGTGAGTATTCATATAGAGCTCCAGATTTTGCAGTGTTACTTACGTCAAACCAATGTAGAATGGACGTTCAGATACGGTTGTATTCACAGACAGCTGGGTCAAGACACCGAAGTACATACCGCTTCCCTAGATTAAGTTAATATCCAGAGGCCTATGCATTTATACAGGCCTTTAAGCTTACTCCAGCGCCAGCCATAGCTCGTCCGACAATCATCCCGTTCATGTTTGGGGCAGCACCACAAAGGGCCGAGCCTGCCATGAAAAGAATAACACACTAGTACTCGAGTTAGCAATACTGAAACTTTGCTACTGCTTTATCATCAGGCGTTCTTTAGCATACCCCAATATAGAGCCATTTGGCATTGTAGGTTGCATAGGCCTTAGACCAAGGCAGCACCAGTGCGGAGGAGGTAAGGGAGAATCTGCGAAGGCTTAGCTAAACTGTCTTCTAAATTATCTTGTAGGACAGCTAAAATCATACCCCACAGCAAGCCAGGAAATCTGGTCGGCTTCTTGGAATTGGTTGAGAATAGCCTGTAGTTCATGATGGTTAGCTGTACTGGAGATAGATATACCGAACAGGAATAAATACAGGTTGGATGTTAGCCACAATGGTGTTGTCAAGCGCAAAAAGCATATGGCTGGACAGGATAGCAGTTACAACTAGGATCCACTATTGTTGGTCGGTTAGAATCTACCGTCCCCATGGTAGTGTGGGTAGTTCAGCTGGAGTTGGATACATACCTTAAAGCCGGTGATCGCCCTCACTTCCTTCTGCGGCTCCTCGACTGATGATTCGTGACCCTTACTAATTTGTGAGCTCGAGCTTGGGGTTTGTGAATCCGTCAAGGCGTCGACGGCCCCGAGTTTCTCGATATCTTTCAGACTGTCTGCCATTGTGCTGGCGGTGCTGTGCTGTGCCAGTTAATCGAGGGTATTGACACACAGACTCTTGGGTTTTTAGTAAATGAAAGTTAAGTTGATGTTGAGTTACCGAAGCATTCTGGCCTGACCGGTTATTTATTCTAATCCTAGGGAAACATTGGAACAGCACATCTAGTCAGATCACGCCAACTGAACGAAGTAAGAGATCTGAAATCATTCTGGGTCGTGACTAATGAAGGCTCCATGGGATGAAAAAGGATGACAGAAGATCAACCAGCCACCGTTTCTCCTCAGGCCCGCTTATTCCAGGAGAGAATTATGATCATATCGCCCTGTTTGCCAGTGCAACCCCAACCCAGTCCAGATCCACATTCTGGGATGCTCTGGGATACCGACTGGGATACCGACTGGGATACCGAATACGATGCCGAATGGGATACCGACTGGGATACCGAATACGATGCCGAATGGGATACCGACTGGGATACCGTATAGGATCTACTGGAATACCAAGATCGAGATCGTTCCGAATAAATGTAATCCTGAAGGAGAATCCTTCGGAGTCGCCCGGGCCAACGCCCGGGCCACATCATCCCAGCGGGAAAAAGCAGATCAGCTATTTCGCTATCCCATCGGGGCAGGACATTACTCCGTACGTAGGCTGTCATCCTGTCCTTGGCGTTCTGGACGGTGATAAGCACTGATTTAGCGTCTCCACTTCATATACTCAGGCTACCGGGAAGGCTTGGCGCAAAGGTCACCAATCTCCGAATCAAGAGTATGTCGAATCCAGTGTTGGAAGGGAATCGCTTGGGCACTATTTTAGCAGAATGAGCCGTGGTAAGCTAAGGAAGCCGTATCTATCACGATGCCTCTTTCGGAAGGGGTATGCAAAAGTATCGCCATAGGTTCTGTTCCAGGCTATCTAGCGAAAGAGACGATAGACAGGGCTCGTGGATATCCTAACTTCGTTTTGGGTACCGTGACTAGTTCTCCCCGCGAGGGTATTGCCCCCTAATGCTTATGTCAAGTCCATGCATCTATAAAATCACACTCTGTTTTCCCCAATTCGCTACCATCTACGAGACACTTATCGTACACTTTTAAATCCAAGGAACAACATATTCGACCCCATTCGTCCTCGTCTACTTCCCCTTCCAAAATCATAGAATTCATTCGTCATGACCATCCACCGCATCACACTCTTCAACATTCCCAAACCGGAGGACGTGGATATTCTCCTCGCCGAATATCGCACTCTGGCTCAAGAAGCAACAAAGGTACACCTTACTCATCTTCTCCTCTCCACCGCTCCTACATGTCAAATATTAACCTTGATACTGCTGGTAGAACTCAGAGCCTTACATTGTGTCAGTCCAAGCGGGTCGCACACTGCCTGACGCGCGAACGAAAGGCTACACGCTGGCCGTCAAGACGACCTTTCGCGATATCGAGGATATGAACTTCTATGACCATGACTGCGAAGCACATAAACGACTGAAGTCTGTTGCTGCACCCAAGAGAGAAGGGGATGTACTTACGGCGTACTTTGAGGATGCGGTTGGGCTTGCAATTTAGATGATTGGCGGTGGACATCTGTAGTCATGTACAGAACCGTTTAGATTAGAAATGGAGTGAAATACGAACAGAAAAAGAATACTCTGGAACAACATGACAATCGCCTGACGAATATCCCCAACCCGCAATATTATTCGAATGGGTCAAGAAGAACGACATCGAGCCCTCAGAAATAGAAAATATATATCTAATAAACAATGAGAAGATCCTCAAGGGTAGTTGCTGAAATTCTAGCCACCGAGATATTCTGCCCATATGACAGCTCGCCCACTAGACTACCTCTATCTAGTCAAGAATCATTAATCTTGTTGAGTAACAAGTTCTGTTTTGATGTCTTTGTGTATCCCTGCAGTCAGTATTTTTACCATTTCTGAGCACAAAGGCTTTTAAAGGCTTCAAAACATTGCTATATTTATTGTTGCTAAGCGAGAGACTGTTTCTATCTCCTAAGCGGTTTGTAACCTGCTACCATAATACTGAATTGCATGTCTATTACAGCTTCTATATATATTCTAGTTAGCCTTAAAGAGCTGGTGCTAACAGAGTCTTTATATTAAAGCAAAGCTATATATTCGTAGTGCCTACGAGATCTTAATATAGGATGTTGCTAAAGATGAGGTTAATATATATATATATTAAAAGTACAAGTTCACAAATAGGATTGTCTTAGGTGCACCATTGGATAATACACCATACAAGAACATTTATAACTGTAGGAGTTTCTACGCAGAGGAAGAGGGCATAGATAGACTAGTTGTAAAGACTATAATTAATACCTGCTACTTAATATGTTGCATGCGACGGTATTAAAGCTTATATTGGAAGACAGAACAAGAATCTCGAGACTTAAAGATATTGTACTGCGGTTGCTATGTGCGCAATCTACTACTCGGGTAGCGAGGCAAGCAGGCAAGGTAGGAATGTAATGTAATGTATCATGCATTGGGATTCACGCAATGATCTTGTTGGGGTGATCCTGGAGCCAGTATGTTGTATAATGACGGACTGGATACTGCCATACCCTCTCCGCTATCATAGCCCCCATTAACAGCTTTCATCGGCTAAATTGATAGACGAATCTAGTCATTTTTCCGCTTAATCAGGTGATATGACCCTACGCAGATCCCCCAGAATAGCAGACAGGTTATGAAGCCACTTCAATATCTGGTCGACCTTTTCGGGGATGGCATGAGCCGAGTAGGCGTGGCAGGATCCAATCACTATTTCACAGGATTCAATATACAACTCGCTAACTTAATCTGATGCTCATAAGTCATACATATCCCCTTCAAAAGAACGGAGCCAAGAAATCAGAACCAACAAAAACCCCCATCAGGCTGTAGCACACTCGCCGTCTGACTAATCCACCTCGCGTCTGAATTCCTCTCGCCATACGCGCTCCGATCCTCCGCCAGCCGCGAGGCCAAGTCCGAGCTCGCATGCCAGAGTTCATCGCTATCGGGAGGCGCGAATTGCAAATTCGCGAGCGAGAGCAAACTCCGGCCCTGCGACGATGCACCGATGTCAGGGACCCGGCAGGATCGACAGACTTTGTACAGGGCAAGGGCAAAGCGCTTGACTTCCTCCACGCCCACCCAAATGTACACGTCGGGCAGGGTGTTTTTGAACTGAGCGACAATCGAGGGGTAGAAGAACATTTGGCGCTCGAGGCAGGTGCGGACGAGGGCTTTTAGGAGCTGCAAGGGGAGGGTGGGGAGTTCGTGAGTTAGCTGCAGGTTGAGACCTTGATTACCTTGAAGGAGGGCGAAAATGATTTGGAGCAGGATTCCTTGGTATGTTGCCATGGGCCAGGGCGAGGGGGGTTCTGCGTTGTGCGGGCTTGGTGCTTCCCATTTATCCTGCCCACGGTTAGTGAGTGGCTGAATATGGAAGCAGGGAAGAATATCAGAGGACTTGACACCGCGACACTCCCCTCCTCCTCCCACGCCCCAACCCAGACCCTGAAACACGCCGTTCAGCATCTGCACACTGGACCTCCCAGGCTTATTTTGAGTCTGGTTCGCAGTTGCAGAAGGCCTGCTGGTATGTGTTCGCGAGGCACGATTGACGCGTGTGCATAATCGGCGCGGAGGTGTGGCGGTATCAAGTCCCAAGGCAAACTCACTCGCTGTTGATGGATCGACACCAGAAGTTTCGAGTGCAGATCCGTCGCGGCCCTCCGGGCATCCTCTTTCCCAGTCAACCATAATCCCATCATCATGACGGATTGCAAGAGAAGAGCGGGCTCATGGTCCGGATCGAAGGTTGCGCGGTGTAGAAATGGCCATGTGGAGTGAAACTTCTCGAAGAACACCTGGATATAAATTAACGCTCTAGAGGGACTGTGTTCAATTGCGTCCAAGTTATGTACGGGGACCAAATTGGTGGAATCCACTACCGGTCCGGCGGTTGGACTCCCGGCGCGACTGGCTTGTTGAACTTGGCGGCCCCGACTCGAGCACCCCAAGGAGCAATCAATGCCTCGCCGCACACAGGCTCCGCACGGAGCCTTTCCGTCACATTTGGACTTTCGCGAGCAGCAGTAATTGCACGCTCGAATTGTGCGACCGGGTTGGAGCTGTTTATCCTCGTGATGGGTGCGGACATGTTGACGGAGCGTATCACTATTATTGTGTACTTAGCACCATTCATGATCCAGGGCATCCTATCTGCCTAGATTCCTTCCTGGTCCATGCTTTCCGTCCACCGGAGATCTATGTGACCATGCGCAGCTTCGACGCCTCGTATTCCCATTCCGTGTTTGGTGCAACTGAACAGACTTACTTCCGGGCAAAACGTCGATCGCAAAACGGACATTCAAACGAGTCCGACTGAAAGTGTCGTCGCGCATGTCGGGTGAGATGTTCCTTCCGTCGATAGCTTAATCCACAACCCGGGAAGTGACATTGAAAGGACGCGCGGGTACTCATGGCGGGAGAAAAAAAAAGAAATTAAGATTTTCTTAGTTTTGTCGTGAGAAAATGGAGAGGCTGTATAGCGCCAAAATCTAGACTCCCACGAGTTGACAGTTTAACGGCGAGATGGGAACGAGTGGGGAATGTCATGAATGATTGGCGCCGATGGGATGGCGGGTGGGATGCCGATGGGAGGCCGATGGGATGGCCCTATGGGATACTGGGATGGCCCCGGAGAAGGTCCCGGAAAAGGTCTTATTGTGCCTGCAGGATTGACTAACCACGGAAATTAGTGGTAGTGGTGCAGGGCCATGGAAGCCCCGTCATGAAAAAGAAACGGTGATCTGGGATGGAATGGG